GGAAAAGGAAAGGCAGAAGAGTGAATGTTGTAGTTGCTGTCACTGAGACTCACACACAGCGGCAAATACTGACCAGTTGTAGGGAGGTGAGGTAGCGTTTCCACCAGAGGTATTTCGACATGCTTGGTCCAAAAGCTGCCAGGCCGTAGTACAGATACATCACTATGTGGACCAGCGAGTTGATCAGACCAATCAGGAAAGCTGTGGACAAGTATACAGAATGACTATCGCATAGTATGCACCTAAGTCTGTGGGTCAGTGTGTGTTTTGGGTGGGTTGTACTCACACTGGCCACCAGCCACATACTTAACCCCAGCCCACCAGTTAAAGATCATGGTGGCATGGTGGTAGACGTGGAGGAAGGTCAGCTGGTTGTTCTTCTTCCTCAGGATGAAAAATATCTGAAAACACACACAAAGGCAGGCATGCAGTAAGATCTTGCAGTGCATGTGTTTATATTTGCAAGCACAGCAGGTACAGAAACACATGCACAAGTAAGCATGTTCAAAAAGATCTGTCACTACATTTAGGAGTTGCTGCGAATATTTTTTTAATAAACTCTTAATGACTTCTTTTCACTCCTTTCATACTTACAGTGTCACTGAGCTCTATAACTTTGGAGAAGTAGAACCACCAGCATACTCTGGCCATCTGCACAACAGAAAAATATGTATATATTAATTCTTTACAACATTTTATACCCTGCTTTCCACAGAGGATAATTTGTTTCAAAGCAAGCTATATTTAAACTGCACTTTTAGGATACACATTCAGATACATTTACAGAATATTGTGGTAATCGAGGTCTAGCACACCTAAACCTGTGCATAAAACAAATTCCGGAGTGGAGAAATTGTTGCATAAAATGCGATAAAGTAAAAAGATTTACCCTCATGGCCAGTGGGCTGTCACTGTAGTCAACTGGCTGGCACAGCAGACTGTATTGGGCCAACCAGGAAGAGGCTGTGAACTGGAAAGACAAAAACTGCTTTCATCTCTGCTTCAGTTTCTCTCAATCAATTGCCTGTGAATAAGTGAAATATTCAATATTCACTCTCTATAGCTAACGCTTTACCTGCTTAACACTCACGCTATATGCTAACTGTCTGCTTTGGTGCTGAGCAGGTGCTTAAATTTCACTGGAAACAGCTGCCTGGGTGATTAATCTCAATGGGTTTGTCACTATGAGCAACCCCATTCATATTATACAAAATTATTTGATCCATTGTTATTTTAAAAAGTATTGATTCGAGCAGCTTTAATTTAGATTTGACATTAAACTTCAAAAACAGCTTAGGTGATTTAGGGTTTCAGAATCCAACTGTTCTTTTCATTTTGCATGTCAACAACTATTTGGATGTTGCTGACATGGAAAGCTCTACCCTCGCCCTGCGTTATCCTATACTGACCAGCATCCAGCTTCCCATCTACTGTACCATTAGCAAAGTTCCCACACACAGTACAACAGTACCTCATAGAACATGTATGCAGACAGGCAGACCATGGTGAAGTTGTAAACTATCAGGACAGGTTTAAGGTTGACTGGCTGCCGTTTCGCCATCAGCTTTGGCCC